GTTTTTAGTTCAAAGCCGACCAGTTGTGAGTAGCATAGTCGTAGCTGAAAAGAAATCGATATCTCTCGGGCTTGGAAATCTGGTAGAAACTGTCGCCAATGTTTTAGGTACATGCTCCAATGCAAATTTAATTCTCGTACATATACTTATTATATTTCTCTGTTAAAAACCAGTTTACGAATAACACATTATGGTATAAGTGAGAATAATTTTTTCTATTACAGGCCTAAAAAGCATGAAGGGTGTGAGTCCAAATTCATATTTGGCCGAACTTGGAATGGACTCCATGATGGCCGTGGAAATTAAGCAAACTCTGGAACAAGAATTCGACATATTTTTCTCTGCGCAAGAGATACGAAATCTTACTTTTACCAAGCTCAGTGAGATATCCAATGCAAGTGCAGATAATACGCAGGATGTAAATAAACTGGATATTGTGCAGCCAAACTTTAAATTTTTAATTGGTGTTATAAAAGACGAAGATTTCATTTCAGAAACTTGTTTAGATTTCTCGACTAAAAGACAGAAAACTACAACCGAAGTATTTCTTATACCAGGTATCGACGGATGTGGAACTGTATTCAATCATTTAGGGCCAAATATTAACTTCTCAGCAAGGGCCCTGTGTTATTATACAAACAACATCGATGCTACAGACATTATATCAGAAACGAGTGATCATCTTATAAACGTAATCAGTGATTTTATATTCTATATTGAACAAAGAAGTGTTTTTATTTAAGAGACATAAAGTTCATCAGATTTTAATGTTCTTACAGCATATATTACCAAAACTGACAGCTGGAAAAGATTTCATAATGGTAGGGTACTCCTTCGGGTCTATTATCGCAATTGAACTAACGAGGAGATTGGAAGCTATGAATTTTAAAGGACGGCTTATTCTCATCGACGGCGCTCCTGAGCAATTACGAACACTATACCAAGAGTACAGTTTTGAAATTTTTGATGATACAGACCTCCAGAATATTGTTTTAATCAATATTGTGGAAATTTATTCAGCAGGAGATACTGAAAAGGTATACTTGTTTCTTGAGCTTGAAATTATTGTTACCTTTCTTACATTTAAACATATTTTAATCTTCTTTGTGTGGTAGTACCAGTATCAATTTTATTACTCTTTCTTACAATATTTGGTTTTAAAAGTATATTTTATATTTCCAAGTTACTTATTTATAAATGCAAACTTTCTTAAGAGAATAAAATGCAATTTGGTAGATTCTAACGGAACTGAAGAAATATAAGACCTGGGAAGAGAAATTTAGTATCTTCGCCAAAGAATTTTTAGCTACGAACACGTCTCTCTCACTCGAAAATTTAAAAACACTGTGCACGACAGCTTATAAGCATGCATCAGCTGTTCCGCAATATGATTCTTCTACGCTGGCACCTATAAAGTCTTCCATAATGTTGTTAAAAGCTACGAACCCGTTGCTTAGATCCGTGATTGAAGAGGATTATGGTTTGCAGAAGGTATCTTTAAAACACTACGCTAATCGGTATTTGATAATAAGTTTCAAATTTCAACAAATTATTTGTTACTAAAATACGTAATTATTTAAGATAACTCAAAATGTGGTGAAAGTACATTTCATTGAGGGTACTCACGTGACAATATTAAACAGTGAGAAAATAACAGCTGCGATTAATGGAGAGCCGCCATTTGCAATTTAATATTTTAAGTTATTTATAATTTTATTTCAAATTTACGTCTGTTATAAAACTTACAGAAATCTGCATGGTGTAAATTTTATATGTACTTGGAAATGAAGTTAAGTTATAGTATTACTAAAAAGAAGTAATTATAACTGAAACTTCATTACAAGTAACGACCCACACAGCACGAGGAACTCCCGGGGAGCTCCTGGGGAGCTCTTAAAATTGGTCATAAGCTTCACTTGAACTTCAAACGAACTCGCACGGAGCTCCTATGTCCGCTTTTGAGAGCTCTCTGGAAGCTTTATTTAAGCTCGCAGGGAGTTTAAATGAGGCTCCCAGGGAGCTCTCAACTAGTACTAACTCGCTGGAAGCTTGTTTTATCGAATTTTGTAAGCTTCCCGGGAGCTCAGCGAAATGAACTCCCTGGAAGCTTGTTTTGTCGAATTTTGTAAGCTTCCCGGGAGCTCAGCGAAATGAACTTCCTAGGAGCTTAATCGGAGCTTTGTGCTGTGTGGGGAGTTACTTCCCAACCCTGCTTTTAGTAAAGTCGTAAAAACACGTCTCTTTTAAGACGTCTTTAAGACGTCGTTTAGACATTAGCTAAGATTGTGCATTGGTATGAATGGTGCACAATGTGAACACTTATTGTAATGTACATAATTGATTTCGTAAATTGTATTGTATTTGATTGTATTGCATTGTTATTTATCATTTGTATTAATTGTTTTTAGTTCCTCCAAATTATTTTAATAAAACATTTAAAAGTGTACTTGAATGAGTTTTATTTGGATATTAGCAATAATAGCTGCTTATTTTGTTAAATAATTGTAAGATAAGTACATATGTTTTGCTAACTACGTATCTACTCTTTGATAACTACAATTTTGCCTGTAGGATATGAAATTAATAGCAGATTTCTGAAAGAAATGTCATCTGACAGTTTGCGCTTTATGTATCACGTAAAAATAAAAAATGTCCATTTTCAATATTTCAAAAAAAGAAAATGTTACTATTGCACGATATGCGTTTGCAGAAATATCATTAAAAGCAATCTTACCTTCGCATAAATAATCTCTACGTCGATATTAACAAGAGGGGCGACAGTCAGTTTTCGCCTTTAGCACTTCGCGTTGTATCACACCTGAGCGCGCCAACTTTAGGCGGTCTGATTCGCTAACTATAAATGCTTATAATTCAAAAACTATTATAGCCTCGACATTTTAGTATTAGGATTTTCATCTTAAAATGATCTCAAGAATCTACCCTTAAGCGTTCATCCGGCCTTTACGGTACACCCTGTATGTATATGTATAAGAGCAAAGTGATCCTTAGGTTTGAGATCGAACCGTAATAATTTTTTTTCCCGGTTGTTCTAGTCGAAAAAACGATAAATTTAAAGCGGGAAGCCTGGAACAAGTTTTTTACCCAAGAAAATCTCGAAAAATCAACTTTTTTAGTACAAAGTGCAAGAGTAAAATGGTGGCTTAATTTCCTCCAAGATTATTCTAACAGCGGCCCACTGTACGTGGGCATCGGCCTGGTAAATTTCGACGATACCGCCTTCCCTCAACATTCTATCTTACATTCGGAAAATTGATTAAGAAAGTAACCAAGATTGCATTTATCTAAAATGATAAACGATGATCCTCTAAACTTTCGGGCCCGGTGTCACCAAACATCGTAACTTTAATCTTAGTTTAATTCACGTTTATCTCTTTCTAAAGTGACAGTTAGAAAGAGACAAAGAATGAATTAAGCTAAGCTTAAAGTTAAACGACGTAGGTAAAACCAAGCCTAAATGTTCAATTTCAATCGTCATTACTAAAATATTTAACGTGAAAAAGTAAGTAACTACATAGAAATTTTCTTTGAAACTCTTCTCGAGTTACAGTTTATCTTACCAGGGATATAAACGCACTTTAACGTACATTAATGAATCATAATAATAAATAATAAATTAGAATAAATCTCGTTTACCTTAAAAAAAGGGGAAGTGCTAAGTGGGTACGACTTGGGGATCTGAACCTCGCGCAGACGACTGACAACGCGATGCCGCAAACTATAGCAATCAAGGAGAGAATAAGGCATCCTGACTACAAACGCCCGTCGGAATATCATGACATAGCTATACTCCGCCTGGAGAAGAAAGTTACCTACGACGCGTTTGTCAGGCCAGCGTGTCTCCCGGTTGATTGGCCAGACGTGGGTCAGGATAATAAGGCAGTGGCTACCGGATGGGGTCTAGTAGACTGGTGTAAGATTATGAAGGAAATCTTTAAAATTACTAAAACACAATTGCCAAAATTAAGTATTAACTAATTATTAATGCTATGAGTTAGAAGAAAGATATATTTTAATATAATTCATTGGAGAAGATACCATTTTTCGCTATTTCTATATGTGTACTATTAATTTTATATGTATACGTATATGTAGGTACGTAAATTTAACAAAGGTATGTCACTTAATTCTCCAGCTGATGACAAGGGCTCGGATAATCTACTAAAGGTGACACTCAATTTGGTCTCGCACGAAGCTTGCAACGAGAGTTTCTACGACGGCGGCAGTTCCACGGAGCTCGCATTAGGAATCGTCAATGAATGGCAAATATGCGCGGGAGAAGTCGGGAAAGATACCTGCCAGGTAATATATTTTGAATCGCAAAAGTCGCTCGTCTGCCTCAATAAAAAGTTTATTTTAACGCGTAAGCCTCAATTTTATTACCCAGTTAAACTCGACCGTTCAAGGCTTAAAGTTGATTGCTTCTTTCCACTTCCGTTTGTTTAGCGAGAGATCAAAGGCTCAGTTAGCTTTAATTGGAAAAACGAAGGCTAAAATCATTTTGATAAACCGATAATATTAGTAAGCAGAGACAAATTAATCGAATACATTTGTTGCTGTTCAAGGGTGACAGTGGAGGACCACTCGCCGTCTTCAACACAGACCACGACTGCATGTACACCATAATAGGAGTCACTAGTCTGGGACGATTCTGTGGCAGCATCATACCTGGCGTGTACACCCGTGTCTACCATTACATCCCCTGGATAGAGAGAACTGCGTGGCTTGAATACTTTGAAACACCTTCCTAACCCACTTTAAATGTATCCATTTTCTTAAGTATCAAATACACTCCGTTTTTATACACAACACTTTGTTCATTCATAGTACGAGCTTTTACTGCAAAACCAAGCAGTATACAATTACAACAACGTATATAAAAGTGCAAAAAAGATGAAGCCAATTTTTATTCCTATTATTGTTCGCCTGCAACAACTGACGGCCACATAAGCCTGCCCTAGGGGAAATATATACCTTAGAAAAGCCTAAAATTTTATTTTGGAAAAACAAATGTGAAAAGTAAATTTGGACACTTTAAACTTTTATTTAAGTTAAACTTAAAACTTACTTTAAGAATGTAAAAGAAAACTTTAAGCATTGTGATAAGTATGTGTGATATAATTTATAATACTAGAAGATATTTATAATACTAGAGAAGTGCTATGCCACGCGGTTCTCTAGCGGGAACTTCGACGGGCTTGGCTATCCAAAAATTACTTTAAGTGTCCAAAATTACTCTACAATTTCTCAAGTACCTAAACTATTAACTTCTTTACGTAAACTCTCAGATTTGAAAGATTACTTTTAAAAGTTTTAATTTCATTTAAAGTAAATTTTCTCAAGGGAGGTTCCGCTAACAACGCTTAACTGTAAGACTTTAGTGGCTTGGCTTAATTAGTCCTTTATCACTTTCCAACTTTTTTCTTAGAAAAAGACAAACAATGAATTAAACTAACATTAAAGTTAAGCAACAACGGTGAAACGGGACCTTCATCCATCTCCCATTGTTAAAGCGTGTATACGATATAGTGATACGGAATAACCTTGTGAGTCATTATCACGTAACGAATAAGCGGTCTAAGGGGGGATGAGGAAAAATGTACGGAAAGAAGGAACATGTTAAACGAGGTACATATCTGTTACCGTAAATGAATATCCAGGATCAGTAGAGAAAACCGCGTGCTCCTAGGCTGATCCAGGATGTCAACAAGCTTGCCGATTCCATCGTCATTATTACTGTTGGTGTTGCTGTCGATCCTGTTGCCAACACACGGGAAACATGTAGGAGGTGAATATTACAACATTTCTCGCCGCTATAAATATACGACTTCTTCTTTGAAACAAATATGTCGTGCTCGTTTTTTCATCAATTGAAAGATCACCTCGAAACCCACGTGCTTCCTACAAATTAAAAAAAAAATTATTAGCAACACATTTCTTCGATTATGTAAATCCTTATTATAAATAATTTTGTAATATATGTTATAATTCGTTATAACATATATTACAAAATTACTCATTACTCATTACTCATAAATAAATTTTATTTTTATACAATTTTTATATTCATTTACTGTTGGCCTTGGTGAATTAAGGAATATTTCTGCGTTTCCTCTAATGCATTATGCAAGTTAGTATTCGAGATAATAATTTAATGACATACCGTGACACATTCGTGAGACTATCTCTCTCACTGAAAAAAACATGTGTTTTTTATTTTGTAGCATTTGAACGCGTAATTCTTTATTATAAGATAATAAAGTTCTCTATTATAAGTTTCTGATATGCGATAGCAGAGTTTTAACACCCAAATTTAATCACAAGTTATTTTCGCACCAATTACACAATCTATTAATAAATTTAGAGCGTTCTGATCTACGATCTTAACGATTTGTCATGTTTGACGAGATGTTCCATTTAATTAACTGTATCTATAAAATTCTTTGTACATCAAAGGTATCTCTTCTTTAATCTTCTAATATGCAGCTAGTTATTAATATCTTTACGTATTTTACAAATCTTAATTAAATTTTGTATCCATAGATCCTACTTGATAAAAGCCTGAACCACGGGAAAGTGTTAAGTTTTTCTTGAATAAAATTTGGCCAGTTAAGATTTGTCAGTACTTGATTTGTTAATTAATACTGGCAACTTGAAGAATTTGATTTGTCTTCGATATCTTTCTCCCTAAACATCTTCAACCCAATAAGTGATTACGCTTGAAGTCGCATTGAAATACTTATACTTTTAACTATTCTTGTCAAAAACTTGAATCGAGAAGAAATATCTTCAACTTGAGTTTTAGCAAATACTCATAATATGTTAATATGTTTCTATAATACTCAGAGTCATGCGTGGTCAACGGGAATTCCCCGGGACAGTGTAAGCTTATACGAGACTGCCCAAGAGTTTATGAAGAAATGTTGGCCGGCAAAGCGCCCAACGAGGTCTGTGGATTTTTTGGTTTCGACGCGATAATATGTTGTCCAACGACAAACCCTCCGGTCAGGAAACAGACGCCGCAACCACAGACTTCCGACCAAGATACTACTACAGAACAATCTTTGAATTTAAGTGAAACAATGGAATCTGTAACGTCAAGTAAGTAAAAATTTCTTTACAATCTATTCTCTGATAAAAGATATCATGGTGGCTCTTGCACGAAGGAGTGGATAGTATGAGCGCATTGGTGTAACCCGTTTTATTTTTTAAATTTGTATAATATTTAATTACTTAATGCATTATTAATAAAATTGATATGTTAGATTTTATACGCGTTTCGAAATATGTAACTTTGACATGATTATTCTCAAAAAGCTTTTGAGCGTCCTCAAAATATATTTTTGTACCTTTCTAACAAATATTAGCTTGCAGAGGTCGGTGGCCTCGTATATTCACTGGCGCAGTTGAATTCTTATGGCATTTATCTCGGTTTTTGTCAAGATCTTTCCTATGAAATAATATTGATCCTCCAAGTGCTTCTACGAATGACCTGCTCACATGTTAAAAAACGCAACTTTTTTTCTTTTTTTTAATGCGTCCGGGTCTAAAATTTTGCGTACTGATAAATAAATCTTGCAATTACATATACTCAAACTTCAATTTTTTCTACTTTTGGTCTGTTTATGTAGGAGCCACCTTAAACGCTGGAGTAACTTCATCTAGCTCAATGACTAAATATGAAATATGTACATACATATCCCTGGTAGCAATGACATTATTCAAGTATTCTGTATTTCTGTAAAATATATGTATATATATAAAGTACTAACGATTGCAATATCTTAATAAACTGAGGGCATCTCTTATTATCTCTTATTATTGTCTTATATTTTTTGGCGATATCCTTTAAATATTCTCGAAATTTACCACGTGCTGTTAGGAATACGTAATATTTTGTACACATATAAATGGGATTATGACTGGAACAAAACATTGAAAAGGTAACATGATGAACTCGTATAAGGACTTGAAGGAGCTTCTGAGAGATGTTAGTAAAGAAGAGACATGCATGGTCGACAATTTCCCGGGTGTGTGCAAATTAGTAGAAGAATGTCCGCAAGTTCATGAGGAATTGTTGGCTGGTAAAAAGCCCAGCGTGATCTGTAGATTTGAACACTTCGAGCCGGTGATATGTTGCCCAACGACAAATCGCGTGGTCTCCACTAACAATAAGCCGGCGCCACCACCACAGACTCCCGAGCGAGACAATTCAGTACCTTTGATATTGGATGAATCAAGGGGATCTCTTGCGCGAGCAAGTAAATAAGAATTCATTTTCAATCTATTCTCTCATAACAGATAAGAAATGCTGGAGTAACTTCAACATTTATTGATACTACAATAATATGCAACTTACTCCACATTTGTATCTCTTCAAAGCTCTTTAGATAACAACGTATCTTAAACTATAAATAAAATCTTTTAATTGATATACACAAACATTTTCTAGTAATGATGAGTAACCAGCTTATCAATGGTAAATTTTTCTGCTATGGTGGGGAATGGATTAGTTTAAAGTTTTATTTATATTGTAATTTTTTCACCTTTTCAGAATGCGCGCAAAGCGCAAAGGCTATCTACGATTTCCGATTACTATCGACGCCGAGAGTGGGCCAACAGCCAGTCAACACGTCGCTATGTGCCTTGAAAGATCGCAAATTGGTTGTCGGTGGCACGAACGCCGAGCCAAAAGAATTCCCGCATATGGCTGCCATCGGTTTCGAAGATAGTAATGATAATATCTTGTGGCTGTGCAGTGGTGGCTTAATTTCCTCCAAGATTGTTCTAACAGCGGCCCACTGTACGTGGGCATCGGCCTGGTAAATTTCGACGATACCGCCTTCCCTCAACATTCTATCTTACATTCGGAAAATTGATTAAGAAAGTAACCAAGATTGCATTTATCTAAAATGATAAACGATGATCCTCTAAACTTTCGGGCCCGGTGTCACCGAACATCGTTTAACTTTAATCTTAGAATTTAATTCACGTTTACCTCTTTCTAAAGTGACAGTTGAAAAAACAAAGAATAAATTAAGCTAAGCTTAAAGTTAAACGACGTTGGTGAAACCAAGCCTAAATGTGCAATTTCAGTCGTCATTGCTAAAACATTTAACGTAAAAAAGTAATTAACTACTATACATAGAAATTTTCTTTGAAACTCTTCTCGAGTTAAAGTTTATCTTACCAGGGATATAAACGCAATTCAACGTATATCAATGAATAATAATAATTAATTATAAATTATAATAAATCTCATTTACCTCAAAAAGGGGAAGTCCTACGTGGGTACGACTTGGGGATCTGAACCTCGCGCAGACGACTGACAACGCGAGGCCGCAGACTATAGCAATCGAAGAAAGCATAAGGCATCCTGACTATAAATATCAGTCGGAATATCATGACATAGCTATACTGCGCCTGGAGAAGGAAGTTACCTACGATGCGTTTATCAGGCCAGCGTGTCTCCCGGTTGATTGGCCAGACGTGGGTCAGAATGATAAGGCAGTGGCTACAGGATGGGGAATAGTAGAATGGAGTAAGATCATGAAGGAAATCTTTAAAATTACTAAAACAGAATTGCCAAAATTAAGTATTAACCAATTATCAATGCTATGAGTTAGAAGAAAGATATATTTTAATATAATTCATTGGAGAAGATACCATTTCTCGCTATTCCTGTGTACGTACATGTAGGTACGTAAAATTAACAAAGGTATGTCACTTAATCCTCCAGCTGATGACAAGAGCTCGGATAATCTACTAAAGGTGACACTCCAGTTGGTCTCGCATGAAGCTTGCAACAAGAGTTACTTCGTCGGCGGCAATACCAATCAGCTCCCATCAGGAATCGTCAACGAATGGCAAATATGCGCGGGAGAAGTCGACAGGAAAGATACCTGCCAGGTAATATATTTTGAATCGCAAAAATCGCTCGTCTGCCTCAATAAAAAGTTTATTTTAACGCGTAAGCCTCAATTTTATTACCCAGTTAAACTCGACCGTTCAAGTCTTAAAGTAGATTGATAATATTAGTAAGCAGAGGCTAATTAATCGATTGCATTTGTTGCTGATCAAGGGTGATAGTGGAGGACCACTCGTCGTCTTCAGCACAGACTACAGCTGCATGTACACCATAATCGGAATCACTAGTCTGGGACATTTCTGTGGTAGCACCATACCTGGCGTGTTCACCCGAGTCTACCATTACATCCCCTGGATAGAGAGAACTGCGTGGCCTGAATTCTTTTCAACACATTCCTAATCCCATTCTAAATGTATCCCTTATCTTAAGTATTGTATCAAATACATTTTTTATACGACACAACAGTTTATGGCTGCCTGCAGTTTTCGATCACGCTCTATTTCTCTCGTTGTAAAAAAAGGGCGAATATTCAAGCTCTCTAATTGTAGATCAGATAAACGGGACTAGATAGAATTTTCGAGGATAATCGACATGAATCCTTGAATGCGGCATCTTCGAATACAGACTTGCGCCTACTTTCGAAATCACCTAGAAATTACACCGTGTGGACTATCAATGAAATTCTTTATTGTGGTGCTAATGATTGCTCAAGTTAAAGTCAAAACATTCACCGATGCACTATCATGACTCATGCACCAACAGCCGCGTAATATTCTCATTGCCCTCTTTACTTTCATGATTTCACATTATCGAAAGTAACATAATTTTATCTTACGATTCGAGGAGCCTTGTGGCTACTTGTCTGCGGTTCGTCGGATCTTGCTCCGTTTCTCTCGATGCTAAAAAAAAAACGCAGATATCACAAACTCTGCAAATCGAATAAGCGCAGGTAGAATTTTTTGGGGGACTCCTGTAAATTCGCAAACGCCGACCCCTTCATCTACTTCCGAAATCGTACAAGAGAATTAGAAAGATTTTAATTCTTGTTATAGAACACTCACGACTGATTGTTAATGCGCTTTGCTGAACACTAGATTTTCCTGAAAGACAAATTGAATTGTATATGTGATCGGCTGTTTTATCGCGTAAGTGCACGACCTTGTACGTCACGACGACCATGGGACGGACCAGTGATCTGAGTGGGGATCAAGAAAAATGAGAAAGGGTACGTAACAAGTCATCGTGTTCGAGGTATATCTTTCATCACAAACGAGTCTTCGGAATCAATCCAGAAAGTCGCGTCAACCAAGACTGATCAAGGATGTCGACGAACTTGCCGATTGCCTCATCGTTATCACTGTTGGTGTTGGTGTCGATCCTGTCACTGATAGATGGAAATCATGTCGGAGGTGAGTATTCGCTACTTTTACGTGCCTTTGCAAATCCTTGTTCGCGGCGAATATATCAAACGTATTTTTTCATAAAGTAAAAGATCGCCTTGAAACTTATAATACGGTTGTCATTATAAATATATTTTGTTCTTGTGACTGTTACATTCCTTTACTATTACTCTCGCTATAGAAGAATTATCTATGACGTATTAATCTTTGGAGATTATTTTTGTGTTTCTTACTGTAACGTATGCCATATTTATGCAAATTAGTATTCGAGATAATGGTTTAACGACTATTACAACACTGGTATGAATATCTCTTTCACAGAAGCCTGCATTTTTCACTTCGTTTAAGCGTTTAATTGCGTATCATCAATAATGTTGTGAACTGAAGATTGAAAGGCTAAATTAGTTTAACATCTTTTTAGAAATATATTCAGCTAGTTTACCTACATATCAGATTTCTCTTTTCTTTCACAATATTCGGAGACAGAAATAAAATTTTTTAATCGTATTAAAAATTTGCTGATAAATAAATAAAGCCGATTGTAATGCCTTTGAATCAGCTTTCAATTAAACAATTATGTATATTTCTTATTTACCACAATTATTCCAACTAATATCCTTCTCTCTAAACATCTAAAGCTTAAAGTCGCATGCAATCTTATGCTCTTACCAAAAACTCTCTTATCGAAAACTTGAATGCAAAAAAATATTCTTCAAATAAAAATCTACAATCTTCTTTTTCGCACAAACTCACGTTAACTCATGTTTCTATTCTCAGAATCATGCGTGGTCGACAATTCTCCGGGTGAGTGTAAGCTTATACCAGACTGCCGGAAAGTTTATGAGGAATTGTTGGTTGGCACGATACCCAGCGTGACCTGCGGATACTTTGGCTTTAATCCGATAGTATGTTGCCCAGCAACAAATATTACCACGAACCCGAACCAGACAGCAATTCCTGTTACCACGAACCTGAACCTGCCAACAATAAATCCTGTTACAACGGACCCGAACCAACCTATGTCGGCACCGAGACCACATTTTGTCAGGATAAACAAGACAGATCACCTCACGAATATAAAAGAAGCACTAGATGCTCTGACGTCAACAACAACAAGTTAGTAGGAATTCCTTTTCAATCTATTCTTTGATAAAAGATATTAAACTAGAACAACTTTATATATATATATATATCTCTAACAGCAATGATAGCATCCAAACCCACTTCTAGAATGTACTAAGGATGTCCTAATAAACTGAGAACATCCTTATTATATCTTATACTTTACAATATCTACCAAATAATTTTAGAATTTACACATGTGCTGTTAGAGACACATAATATTTTACACATAAATGTGGTAATGCAACAAAACATTGAAAAGGTACCGTGACGGAGGAGAACTTGAATTCGTTTCTGGATGACTATTTTGAAACCGAGACGTGCATGGTCGACAATTCCCCGGGTGAGTGTAAGCCCGCAGAAAAGTGCCCGCAAGTTTATCAGGATTTATTGGCCGGTAAAATGCCTAGCGTGATCTGTACGTGTTCCGACTCCATTCCGCTAGTATGTTGCCCAACAACAAATCGTGAAGCTAACCAGTTGCCGGCGCCGCAACCACAAACTAGCACGCGAAACAATATGGTGCGACCGTTGCAATTGGACGGATCGAGGGGATCTGTAGCACAAGCAAGTAAGGAAGGATTCCTATCTCTATTCTTCTCTAATAAAAGATAAATCACGCTGGGGTAATTCAACATTAAAATAAACTTACGTGCAACTTGTTCCACATTTGAATCCCTTCAAGTGTCTTTACCCCAGCGCGAAGCGTCGATTGAAAAGATATTGAATGGGCATAAAATTCATAGACGTCGAAACAGCTTTTCGACCAATATCTTACAGTATGTAAAAGTATCTCTTTATTGGTGTGCAGAAACATCTTCTAGCAATGACAAACAATCAATTTATCAGTGCTAAATCGACAATTTGTACATTCTTGGTGAACTTGAGCAGAGAACATTTTTTTCTTTCGTGCCACAGCTTGATATTTATAAAAAAAGAAATAGCGATATCACGCGTAAACATTTCTATGAAATTATAGCGTAAATATTCAGACTAAAAATCAATTGGTATGAAAGAGATATTGAAGAGCAAGATAATATTATATCGTGTTTTGTTGAGAACCAGAATCGGTTGGAGTACGGATTCAACTAAAACTTTATTTAAATTGTAATATTTTCTTCTCAGAATGCGCGGAAGTCTTGGCTCTCAATTCCGAGTTACCCCCGCCGGAAACGTACTATAGCATTACCGTCGTCGGTGGCGAGGAAGCCGGGGCGAAAGAATTTCCGCACATGGCGGCCGTCGGTTTCGATGGTCCCAATGGTATCTCGTGGCTTTGTGGAGGAAGTTTAATTTCCTCCAAAATTGTTCTGACAGCGGCCCACTGCACGTGGACATTCGAGTGGTAAACTTCAGCAGTTCCGCCTTCTCTCATCGTTCACCCATTTCACGCTTAGAAAATTAATGAAAGAAGTGATCAAGATTACTTTTATATTCTAAAATGGAAAACGACAACCTCCTTGTCATTATAACTACAGTTCCTCTTAACAATAAATTTTGATCGATTTAGAACTCATCTTTTTTCCGAGCCGTGTAAGGCGACTACTTTTGCGAATGATTTTGTAATGAAGAAAAACTAAATCTTCGAGACTTAAGATTACCGATTGCCTGAGCTTCAGTTTAAGTAATTTTAACTAAATCAATTTCAATCGTTATCATTGAAATATTTAAAGTTAAAAAGTAATTACTACTATAAAAACTCCCTTGAAACCCTTCTCGAATTAAAGTTTATCTTACCAATACTGGAAATCAAAGAAAGTCGCTTCTTTTCCCATTATCGACTATAAACGCACTTCAATCAACGTACATTAATGAATAATAATAAATTACAATAAATCTTGTTTACCTCATAAAGGGGAAGTGCGACGTGGGTACGACTTGGCGATTTGAATCTCGTACAGACGAACGACACTGCGATGCCGCAGACAATAGCAATCGAGGAGAGAATAAGGCATCCTAATTACACAAGCCCGTTAGAATACCATGACATAGCTATACTGCGTCTGAAGACAGATGCTACCTACAACGCGTTTGTCAGACCAGCGTGTCTTCCGTTTACTTGGCCTGACGTGCGTGAGGGGGATAGGACAATCGCCGTCGGATGGGGTCGAGTCGATTGGAGTAAGACTATATGGAGAGTTCTGTAAATTAATAAAACCGATTACTTAGTTAGATTAAGTACTAACTACCCAGTAAATGGTTATGATAAAGATACATTTTATTTTTGTATATGCCTACGTATAAAATTAATAAGGGGATGTCATTTAATGATCTAAATAAATTCTCTAGCTGCTGACACCGGCTCGGACGATCTATTGAAAGTATATATCAGTTTGGTCCCGCATGAATCTTGCAACGCGACATACTTCGACAACGGCAGTACCGTGCAGCTCACATCAGGGATTGTCAACGAGTGGCAAATATGCGCGGGAGAAGAAGGGAAAGATACCTGTCAGGTAATATATTTGCATCAAGAAAATCGACGTTCTTCTCAATAAAAATTGGACATATGGCTTTTTTCCCCGGGATACTTTTATAAGTACAAGAACATTTGGGGGCAAAAACAAAGTAATCGAATACACTCATTGTTGTTAAAGGGTGATAGCGGAGGCCCACTCCTGGTCAATAATGAGGCGCACAAGTGTATGTTCACCGTAGTCGGGGTTACCAGTCTCGGAAGACTCTGCGGCATTATACCTGGCGTGTACACCCGGGTTTCCCATTACATCCCCTGGATAGAGAGAACTGCGTGGCCTGAATACTTTTGATTTGCCGTTACTCCTTCAATTTAAACGTATCTATTTTTTCAATATCAAATACACTCCTCTTCTATATGACGCAACAATTTGTTCATTCTTACAATTAGTGCGAGCTCTCACTGAAAGCAGTATACGATTACAACTGTGCAGGGTTGAGAAAGTTACTTTATAAAAATATCCAGTTGCAGTTACAGTTACTCAAAATGTAACGTTACTTTGCAGTTACTTTCTTGTAAAGAAAGTATAAAAATATCAAATCTGCATTTGAATCGTAAAGTTTCGATAAAGTTTATGCACAAATGCAAGGCCTGATGCGATCTGTGAAGGTTTGAAATATAATATAAAGTAACTATTAATGTAACTATGAAATTACTAGTTATAAAAAAAATGTAACTGAGTTAAGTTACAGTTAGAGATGAAGACAAAGTAACGAAGTTAAGTTAGAGTTATCAAAAAGAAGTAACTGTAACTGTAACTTCGTTACAAGGTAACGAGTTACTTCCCAACCCTGCAACGGTGTATATGTAAAAGCGCAAGAGAGTTGAAGCCAATCTTTGTTCCTGTTATAGTTCGCTCGTGGCAACTGGCTACCGTTTAGGTTCGGTTCCAATTGGCTTAATTAATCCTTTACCTCTTTCCTTTTTTTCTCTTAGAAAAAGATACTGAATTAAACTAACATTAAAGTTAAGCAGTAATGGTGAAACCTTTAATCACCCGTGGTTAGAGCGCTTTGTTCATCTGACTAAAAAAGTAAATTAATTGAATACTTTCGTTGCTGTTCAAGTCGGACAGGGGAGAACCACTCATCGTCTTTAACGAGGTTCACAAGTGCATGCACACCGTAATTGGCATTTTCACTGACGAAGGACTCTGCGGCACCCTACCTGGCGTGTAGACACCCGAGTCTACCGTTACCTCCCTTGGAAAGCGAAAAATATGTGGCCTGATTACCTTAACATACGTATTCTTAATTCACTTTCAATGTATCAATTTTCTTGAGTATCAAATACACTCTGTTTTTATACACAACAGTTTCTTCATTCATAGTGCGAGCTTTCACTGGAAAACCAAGCAGTATACAATTACAACAACGTATATAAAAGTGCAAAAGAGTTGAAGCCAATTTTCATTCCTATTATTGTTCGCCCGCGACAACTGACGATCACATAAGCCTACCTTAGGGGGAAAATATCTTAGAAAAGCCTAAAATTTTATTTTGGAAAAACAATTGAAATATGAAAAGTAAATTTGGACACTTTAAACTTTTATTTAAGTTAAACTTAAAACTTACTTTAAAAATGTAAAAGAAAGCTTTAAGAATTGTAAAAAGTATGTGATATAAATTACAATGCCGCGTGCAATTTTCTTCTTACGAGAAAGTGCTATTCCACGCGGTTCTCTAGCGGGAACTTCGACAGGCTTGGCTATCCAAAAATTACTTTAAGTGTCCAAAATTACTCTACAATTTCTCAAGTACCTAAACTATTAACTTCTTTACGTAAACTCTCAGATTTGAAAGATTACTTTTAAAAGTTTTAATTTCATTTAAAGTAAATTTTCCTACGGAAGGTTCCGCCAACAACGCTTAACTGTAAGACTTAGTGGCTTGGCTTAATTAGTCCTTTATCACTTTCCAACTTCTCTCTTAGAAAAGGACAAACAATGAATTAAATTAACATTACAGTTAAGCAACAATGGTGAAACTGGATCTTCATCCACCTCCCATGGTTAAAGCGTTTTGTCGAACGCGAGATCGTCCTCGGAGACACGAATGAAAGCGTGTATACGATATAATGATGCGGAATAACCTTGTGAGTCATTATCACAGAACGAATAAGCGATCTGAGTGGGGATGAGGAAAAACGTACGGAAAGAACGAACATGTTAAACGAGGTATATATCTGTTATATCTTACCGTAAATGATATCCAGGATCAGTAGAGAAAACCGCGTTGTCCAAGGCTGGTCCAAAATGTCAACGAGCTTGTCGAATGCATCGTCATTATTACTGTTGGTGTTGCTGTCGATCCTGTTGCCAACACACGGGAAACACGTCGGAGGTGAATATTACAACACTTCTCTTTGAAACAAATATGTCGTGCTCGTTCTTTCATTAATTGAGAGATCACCTTGACAGCCACATGCTTGCTACGCACTAAAAGAAATATATTATTAGCAACACGTTTCTCTGATTATGTAAATCCTTATTATAAATAATTTTGTAATAGATGTTGTAATATGGTCATTACGCATAAATTAATTTTAATATTACACAAGTATCATACTGTTGGTCTTGGTGAATTAAGGATTACTTTTGCGTTTCCTCTAATGTACCCATACAGAACGCATGTCTAAAAGGCATCTTTAAGTCATCTTTTAGACACGCATATCCGTCTTAAAGGTACCTGTTAGACATACATGTTGTTTGGGTATCTTTCCTCTAATGCATCATGCAAGTTAGTATTCGAGATAATAATTTAATGACGTACAATGACACATTGATGGGAATTCCTATCTCACTCACTGAAAAAAAACATGTAGTTTTTATTTTGTAGCATTTTAACGCGCAGAGGAAAGTTCCCTATTATAAGGTAGATTTATAATATGAGATAGCAGGTTTTCAGCACCCAAATTAATACTGGCAACCTGAAGAATTTGATTTGTCTTTGATATCTTTCTCCCTAAACATCTTCAACCAATCAATAATTAATTAAGCTTGAAATCGCATTGAAATACTTATACTCTTAAATATTCTAGTCGGAAACTTGAATCGAAAACAAATATCTTCGATTTTAGTTTTAGCAAGAACTCATAATACGAGTATGTTAATAAGTTTCTATAATTCTCAGAGTCATGCGTGATCGACAATTCCCAGGGACAGTGTAAGCTTATACGAGACTGCCCAAGAGTTTATGAAGAAATATTGGCCGGCAAAGCGCCCAACGAGATCTGCGGATTTTTTGGTTTCGACGCGATAATATGTTGTCCAACGACAATTCCTCCGGTCAGGAAACAGACGCCGCAACCACAGACTTCCGACCAAGCTAATACTACAGAAGGATCAGTGAATTTAAGTGAAACGATGGAATCTGTAACGTCAAGTAAGTAAAAATTTCTTTACAATCTATTCTCTGATAAAAGATATTATGGTGGCTCCTGCACGAAGAAGCTGATAGTATGAGCGCATTGGTGGAACACGTTTTATTTTTTAAATTTATATAATATTTAATCACTAACTGGATTATTAATAAAATATATTGATATATTAGATTTTATACGCGTTTCGAAATATGTAACTTTGTCACTATTATTCTCGAAAAGCTGTCAGATTTCCTCAAAACATTATATTTTTGTACTCTTCTAACAAATATTAGCTTGCAGAAGTCGGTGGCCTCGTATATTCATTGGCGCATTTGAATCCTTAAGATATTTATTATATTTATCTCGGTTTTTCTCAAGACCTTTCCTATGAACTAATATTAATCCTCCAAGTGCTTCAGCGAATAATCGACCCGCATGTTAATGAGTACAACTTTTTTTGTTTCTTTTATTGCGACCGGGTCTAAAACTTTACGTACTGATAGATAAATCTTGCAAATACACATACTCAAATTTCAATATTTTCTACTTTTGGTCTGTTTATGTAGAAGCCATGTTAAACGCTGGAGTAACTTCAACTAGCTCATTGACTAAATATGGATTATGTACACACATACCCCTGACAGCAATGACATTATTTAAATGATTTAAATGTTCTGTATTTCTGTAGAATATATGTATGCGTATAAGCTACTAACTATTATAAACTGAGAACATCCCTATATTATCTTGTATTTTTTGGCGATATCCTTTAAATATTCTCAGAATTTACACACGTGCTGTTAGGAATACGTAATATTTTATACACACATAAATATGATTATGACTGGAACAAAACATTGAAAAGGTAACATGACGGTCTCGGCTATGGACTCGGATATGGACTTTGATGAGGACTTGGATGAGGACTTGGATGAGGACTCGGATAAGGACTTGGATGAAGACTCGGATAAGGACTTGGATAAGGACTCGGATAAAGACTTGGATAAGGACTCAGATAAGGACTTGGATAAGGATTCGGATAAGGACTCGGATAAGGACTTGAATCCGGAGAAGGAACTTCTGAATGACGGTAGAAAAGAAGCGACATGCGTGATCGACAATTCCCCGGGTGTGTGCAAATTAATAGAAGACTGTCCGCAAGTTCGTAAGGAATTGTATGCCGGTAAAATGCCCAGCGTGACCTGTAAATGCTCCGACTCCGCTCCGACAATATGTTGTCCAACAACAAATCGTGGATTCAACCCGTCGATGTTAAAGCCGCAACTGGCGACTAGCGTGCTAGACTATAGAGAAGAACCTTTGAAATTTGATAAATTAAGGGGATCTGCAGCACAAGCAAGTAAGGAGGAATTACTTTATATTCTTCTCTGATAAAAGATACGCTGGAGTAACTTCAACGTTTAAAGAAACTAACATGTAACTTGTCCCATATTTGAATCTCTTAAACCTCTTTGCCTTATTACAAAAAGGTTGAAAAGCTGTCGAATTGACGTAAAATATACCGAACAGACGTCGATTTGATATCGATTCGACGTCTTTTCGACCAATTATTAATTCCAGAGATATAAGAAGGAACATCTTACAATATGTAAAAGTCTTAATTGATACATTCAAAGATCTTCTAGCAATGAGAAATGTTTACCAGGCTACATCGGTAATTTATACATTCTTGGCGAACTTGAGTAGAAAATGTTTTCTCCTCTTTCGTACCAGCTTGCTATTAAAAAAGATATAATGTTATTACGTAAACATTTCTGTCTATGAAATTATAGCTGAAACATTTAAACAGAAATTCAACTCTTATTAATAAGCTCTTGAAAAACAAGATAATATTATAATAAATGATAATTTGTAAAGAACGAGAACCGATTGTGGTACGGAATTAATTAAAGATTTACCTAAATTATATTATCTTTTCTCAGGATGTGCGGATAACTTGATCCTCAATTCTATGATACCCCCGCCGAAAATAAAATCTCACACTACCAGCAATAAAGCCGAGGCGAAGGAATTTCCATACGCGGCAGTGATCGGTTCCGTTGTTCTCGATGAAATCATGTGGTATTGCATCGGTAGCTTAATTTCTTCCAAGAATGTTCTGACAGCGGCCAGCTGCGTATGGACAACCCACATGTAAATTTCGGCGTTTCCGCCTTTGTTCATCATCAAATGTTTAATGTTAAAAAACTTCAATTAACTACTATCAAAATATTCCTTGAAATTCTGCTCAAATTTGAGTTTAACTTTCTTCAAGCCCGTATCAGACTACGGATTAAGATTGACATTAGATTGAAATTTGATGAATCAAAATAAAGTTTACTAATATCAAATTTAATGAATTTTACTCCGATTGGTCAAATCTTAATTTAATCTCAGGCCCGTATTTATAGTCGTTTCTCAATTCTCGTCTCAAGAGTGTATCAGGTGAGATACTCAGATTGGAGTTTCATGTCTTGAGATACAGACGGTTCAATAGTTGCATTTCGATCAAAGATCAACTGAAACTGTATTCAGCTGAAAAGGGGACCGATTGCTCGCCTGAAATTTGTCTCGAAAGTTAAAACATCGATTAAAGCAGCGATACGCAATTTTTCTCATCTCAAATCTTAGAATTTAGATAATACGAAATCAAAAAATTATTTTCTAAAACTCCCTTTGAGAATCTCTATTGAATCGGGATTACAAATAAATATCGAAGTCTCAAGATTCATCTATTAAACAGTATCGTGTCTCAAGACTGGTTTTAGCTGAGTTTTTCAGCTGAATGAAAGACGGCTATAAATACGAGCCTCAATCTCAATCCGTAGTCTGATACAGGCTTTATCATTGTTGGAAAAGTGAGGAAGTTTGCGTCATTTCCCGTTATTGATTACAAGCGCGTATATTAATAAATAATAATTATAATAAATCTTGTCTACTTCGAAAAAGGGGATCTGCAAAATGGGTACGGCTCGGCGATCAGAATTTCACGCAGTCAACCGACAAAGACAACACGACGGTGCAGACTATTGCCATCAAAGAGGGAATAAGACATCCTAATTACATACCTCTAGAGCGTGACCATGACATTGGTATATTGCGTCTGGAAACAGACGCTATCTACAACGCGTTCGTCAGACCGGTATGTCTTCCGTTCAATTGGCCTGACGTGAGCCCAGACGACACCGCAATAGCCACCGGATGGGGTCAACTCGACTGGCGTAAGATTCTAAAAAAAAAAAGAGATTTGTTTTAAATTACTAAAAGCGATTACTTAAATTAAGTAACAACTAATTCTTATATACATAGCTACAAACGCTACCCAATTATGAGAAGGATATATTTTTTCTGTATGCTCTCTGAGAGTCAATCAGTGGATTATCACTGAAAACAGTGAATATTCACTGATTCGCAGTTACAACGCACTGATTGACTTTTAGAGTGTGTACGTGTGTGTAAAATCAATAAAGTTATACTACTTGATCCGTCAGAGAAAGGCGAGGATCCGGACTACGTGTATCTGTGGACGGTAAAACTCAATTTAGTCTCGCACGAAGCTTGCAACGCGTCTTTCTTCAACGACAGTTCCTTCCTGCGGACCCCATCAGGGATTGTCGATGGATGGCATATATGCGCGGGGCAAGAAAGGGACGACATCTGCCCGGTAATGCATCGAACAAATCTTCATTCCTCTAAATAAGAATTTTACTTTAGGGTGTAAGCCTCGTAGTATCGTTTAACATAACTCGCAGTGAATTCGATCTTATAATATGCGGTTTTGCGATCACAATTGTTTCCAAATCGTTTCTTCTAGCGGGAGACTCGATTAGCTTCAGTTGGACAGGAGATTATATAAGTTTACTTTTACGCAAATTAATCGAATACATTCGTTTGCTGTTCAAAGTTGAGCGGCGGAGGACAACTCATCGTCTCTAACGAGGTTCACAAGTGCATGCACACCGTTATCGGGGTCTTTAGCGAAGGACTCTGCGGCACCAAACCTGGCGTGTACACCCGAGTCTTCCGTTACCTACCCTGGATAGAGAGAACTGCGTGGCCTGAATACTTTGAAACGCATAATTCTAGTCTACCTTAAATGTATATCCACTTTCTCAAGTGTCAAGTGTCTTCAAGTAATAAAAGCACTTCATTTTTATACGACACAACAGTTCGTTCATTCCCGTAGCGCGAGCTTTCGCCCAAAAACCCGACCTTAGCGTTATACAATTACAATAATGCACTGAGAAAAATGTCCGATTAAATATAATCGGATGATCCAACTACATAATAACAAACGGATATATCTAATTAAATTGTATATCCGGTGAAAAATATGATCGGTTTTTCAATCAAGTTTCATCGGTAACTGCGTTGTCCATAATTTAATCGGAAAAATTAGCCATCGGAAACACTATTTAATTGGTTTATCCGACGGAAATGTTTCTCAGTGTGCGTCCCGTGGACTTATGTGACTATTTGCCTGCGACTTTCAATGTCGCTCCATTTCTCGCGTGGTCAAAAAGAAGCGCGAATGTACAAACTCCCCGAGGCGGATGCGCGCGGGTAGGTAGAATTCCTGAGGACACTCGGCATTGATCCCTGGACGCGCAAGCGCCGACCGGTGTATCTTCACCTACTTCCATCGCTCCCGGTCGTCGGAGAATCCGCGAAAGTCCGTAACGTAACGCGGTCGTCTATTTTCGTTTATCCGAAGAGGCGGCGGCCTCACCGCGACGTTGCTGGTCCCAGCCGAGGTAAGAAAATCGCATGCCACGCGACCGACCACACGTCTCGCGGCAAGGCGGATGCATTCGACGTAGAAGAGCTCGCCGTTGAGTGCGAAGGACGATTTCTCGAATAAGAGTGTTATTTCTGGTAGCAAATCGCGAAACCGGTTCTGCGGCTTTAATTAAGACTATCGCGATGACGAGAGCACGAGGTATACATCGTTATATGTGCGATAAGACCGCATATATTATAACGTAGTTATATTCGTATGGTACACTGTAACTTGTAACGACATAAGACGATAAGATCAAACATTGCCACGAATATACTACTTTATATAATTATCTTAATGTGGTGTAAGATTTGGTATGTGTTTTCTGAAATCATCGAAAGAACATGAATAGAAATCTTGATTTATAACACATCAATATAGAACGAATCTTTACGGAACTAATCTTTTTCTTCAATTAACCAAATAAATATTTCTCTTGTAAAATTCCATATTTATACTTTATAATTTACCGAGATAATTTACCACTTGACCTTTCGACGCAACTCTTGCGTATAACAACCTTGACAATGTTTAATTTTCAGCAGGTAGACGGTAGAACGTTCGATGTCGGCTCTTCTAGATGTATGTGGAAATGACACCGGTTCGCCATCGATATCGAAGGCAGATGATAATCTATCCAACAGCGACGGGCCCCTGATCAAGGGCATCATTCGCCAAAATAGTTGCGGCAGCATGCATGCGAGGTGAATAAGAAAGCAATCGTGCATTAGATTGTTAGCAATAGCTGCTATTAATGTTTCTAAAAAAAAGATATTTATAGTAAGCCGCATTACTCTTATTTTCTTTAGAAAGATTATTTCAATATTTTACTCCATCACACCTGCTTTCTGCTTCGCTACCAATGTACTTTGTTCCTCTTTATATCGTTACAATGTATTTAGAGAGAATAAGTAAAAAAACAGAAATAATTACCGATCGGAATTAATTAAAAAATATAATAATTGAATACAATTAGTCTAAAAAATATCGAAGTGCATCAAGTTAAAATAATTTCGGACGATTAATCGTCTGTCTGGGCGATGTTAACAGGACAATCGCCTCCTCGCACGGCATGTCGTCGATGGGCGAAAAATCCATAAAGAAACGTTACTGTCTCTGGGCGTTGACTTTGGTCCTGGCGATAATCGGCCTCTGCAATCTTTTCCTAAACATCACTGTCATCGCTGTTTTGCGTATAAGTCAGGGAATGGAAGCTATGGAAGTAATCCCGGACGAAAACCTCGTCAAATTCTACGGAAGAACAGATTTGGACAAAGTACGTATACACATTTATACATTTGACATTTAAAATGGACAACATACTTAGACAAGAGTAATTAAAAAACTAAAATAACACAAAAAGCCGAGTAGAGTATGCTATATCTCCTCGCAAGTATTGACATCGTGTCACGTTACTCCGCATTTCTTGAAGATATCCCTGCAGTCGGGCGTCTGCCAGAGTTACGGCGACGAGCCGATGGAGATATCCGGCGACGAGGCTGGGGTGCACGTCGATGTAAAGAGGCATCCGCACTCGAAGCTGGGTGTCCTACCGAACGGTACCACCATGTCGCAAGTAGAGTCGTTCGAGGTGAAGGACCCGCGTACCGGCGCGACCTACTTCACCACGGACTTCCCGAACTTCGGTCTGCCGAGCGGCGTCAAGACGATCGACGTGAGGATCGCGGAGACCCATCGGATTACGTCGCCGGTCAACGAGAGCTTGGAGATCAAGTCCAACAACGAGGTCTCGTTGCACGGCGCGGAAGGCGTGCGCATAGAGAGCAAGAATATCGTGTGGAGCGCCGATCGCGACATCTTCTTGAAAAGCGTCAACGGCAGCGTCGTGCTGGATGCCAAGGACGGCGTTTCCATCGACGTGGAGACTCTCCCGGTGGCGCCGATGTTCCTGCAGAGTCCAACCACGAGCCACGAGCAGTACAAGGTCTGCGTGTGCATGCCGCAGGGCAAGCTCTTCAAGGTGCCGGTCCGCCCGGGCACCAGTTCCCGTATGGTTAATTGCGCGCGGGTCGCCAGAACCCCGGAGAACGATCCTTGCCTACACTAGGTTCTAAATGAGGACTGACATTTTCTACCACGTTTCGTTACACGCTTGTGACATGCATATCACTGCCAAACTGCAAATACATACGAAATATGTACAAGCACATAGTTCATATGTGTACATGATACCGTGGGATCGGTGGATGTGGAACGGAATTTTTCCAAGTATATAAAAAACACTGATCTCCCAACATATTTACATGTCGCAATACAGTTATCAACCAAATGTTTAAGGAAATCAGATACATTTTTCGATAAAAGGAAATTTACACAGGACTAATCTCCGGAGATCAAATCTCTCCATGGAATTTATACAATCGATGTTGAAAGTGTAGATGCTTAAAGTGCTGTATATGCGGAAGATACTTAGAAGAGTAAAATAAGTTACTTAATCGAGTAGAATGCACATTAATCTATATTTTTACTTTACGCCGAGTCTCACATGTCGGGGACGCACTTGTGTCGTCAAATTGTCCGAGATACAAATATCAACTGCATTTAAAAGTATAATTTCGTCAATGGAATTACCTTGTCATGAGATGTATGTGTGCAAAATGTGTTATAAATATACGTTTGTAAGACAAGATAGTAATAATGAGATAACCCTCAGAATGAAGGTTTCCAAATTTTACTCGAGAACCTATACACTCTCGGTGATCATCTCCTCATTGCTCTCGTCCATGTCCTCCTGCTGCTCCTGCTCCGTGGGTGGTTCGTACGCCTTCTCCAATGGGCTTGCCACTACGCCTCCCGCCCACACGCTCATCTCTACTGCGAGTTTGTTGGAGCCCTCCAGTAATGGTCTGTAGCCACCATGGGCCAGTACACGCAGCAATGTTTGGGCAGTGAGACACACGAGATCTTGTTGTTCGAGTGTCAATGCTGTATGAACACGTATATTTCCACCTTCGCATGGATCAGATATACCTAAAAAAAATATACATATATGTGTTATAGTTCACAGAAAGTCTACATAATTAAGCCGATATCTGCGTCAATTATTTGGAATTAGAACGCGATTATGTTTTCTGCAGTTCATCGATCGTACAGATTTTCTTTCTCCTGACGTCATGTAATTTTCAATTGCAACTACCAAAGATGTTTTAATTCCAAGAACAAGGACCACTTTTAACGTACCCGCTGATCCCGGAAGAAACAATCCGGAAGCGAGCAGCTGCAGCACCCTCTTGTACGCCTGATTTATCGGCAACGCCTGCCTGCTAGGATTGTTCATTATAGCATTATGTGCCAACAGATCCAGCATCCACGGAGACAACGGCTCAAGGCCTTCAAATTTGCTTCGAAGATCACGAAGTAATCTAATTAAGACCTTGATGCTAGAATGATGAGCGTTTTCTTCGAACCAGCGAGAATGTCTGATAGCGGCAAGATGACCTACAAAGCAAACCACGCGTTTCACAGTAACAAATGTTAAGAACTGTTGTCTGTAAAAAGCGCGAGAATCACCTTGACAAATTTTGACATCCAAGTGTTGCTCCGACTCCAACTTGCGTAGATTCTGGTGCAATGTGGTTATTAATACGCGCACAGTGGCCTCGTTGTTAGCGATATCGAATCCACGCTCTGTCTGCATAACTCTGAAGACCTCCTTCGAGTTGACGGCCTTCAGCTCGTTGTTGACTTTGTTCCCGAGTGCCTCCACTGCCGTCTTCGTCGGCAAAGTTTTTAGAATGACAACGATATCAGCGACATTGTGGCCCTTTATCATCGTACCTTTCTTGAAACTGCCGACTTGTCGCACTTCCTCCAATTGCTGCACAGGAGGGCAAACAATACGCGTGACGCGCGACACAAAGGGATAAAAGTTGAATTCGCAATAGAAGCGCGTGTACTTACGCAAGCCTCGAAGGTCCCTGGCGCGACAATCAGATTATCAAGGACCGTCTGCAGTTTGGTCACAAGGTTCAAGATGGAAGACTGCTCCTTCGGTGTCGGGCACATGTCCGCATTTTTCTTCACCAGAGCAGACTGGAAGTCCGATTCGTCCGGAGCCGCTTTAACGCGCGGGAAAGCCGCCTCGCAGAGCGTATAGTCAAACGGGTGTCGCGGTAGGAATTGCTTCCGTGGAAAGCCCATTCCACGTCCCATACCGCCTCGGCCGCCTCTGATCATTCCCCCACGACCTCGCACCATATTGTTTCTACAACAGAGAGTAATATTAACAATAATTTCCTTGGTGTATCTCGTCAGATTGCCAGTACTGATGTAAAAACAGATTTCAAATTTTAATCGGCCTCATCTGGCCACATTTATTGAATACGCCTTTGGATTCGCAACGTTTCGACCTTTGCTTTAGGTCCTTTTCAAGCGAGATCTAGGAGCGAATGTTCTACATACAATTTACGCGACAAGTATATAAGCGAGTTGTACAGTGTCGCAGAAGGATAATAATTTCCTTGCTACAACTTCCCGACTCCCTATCTTCCCCTCCACTTCCTGCGCCTCACCTCCTCATCACTTTCCTCCGAATCCACACCCTTCTTTCCTCTCCCTCAGCCCCTTTTCCAACGCACCTCTCACCTGTGCCTCCTCTCACTCGGCCAACTTTCAACCTACCCATCAATTTTACACGAATAACTTCCCACACAGCACGCGTGTTTACAAGTCATCTCTGAGACGTCTTTTAGGCGTACGCATTGTTTGGGTGACATGTAGAAAATAGAGCGAGTGTACAGTAGTCTCCTACGAGATAGGCTTCTAATACAAGACAGCGGGTTTACAACATGGGCACCAAGTTCAATCACAATCTTCTTTCGCGGCGATCGCGCAGTCTAATAATGTATTTTCCACTAAACAGATTTCACCCCAAGGGAAATAAATCACCCTACGATTCTGTAGGAAAATACAGGCTATTACTAAACTAGATATCCCACCCCACGCCCTAAATTCATTTTGCTGACTTTGTTAAGACACGTTTTTTGCCACAAAAAACCTATAACATTGCCCTTATCTCTACTCTTTAAACATTGCAATGTTTTCTGAAATGCTTCTGAAGGCTTTGGTGCTGTATGGGGAAACCCTTCGACTAATCTGGCGCCAATTTTGCACAGATACTCCTTAGGGAAATATGAGCTGAAACCTGGACAAACTTGCGGCAGAGGAGCGCATGCAACGCCGGACAGGTTAGGTCGAGCTCGTTACAGACGAATCAGAGAATATACAAGTGAAATGCGTATAGCTTCTTCGACTTTCCGTCCCGGAAACCTGACGAATAGTCCCCTTTCTGAAACCCCCATCGTTCAGCCGTCGAAAATAATACCTGCAGAATTCGCGAACGAAGCAGAACAGAAATCAATACGACGCCTCGGGTTAACCTAAGCGACGCGCGCGCGCGCGCGCACGACACATCTACGCGGACGGCGGGGCGTTTTCGGCACGCGCGCGCGAAAGCGAAACGTTTCCGCAGCTCGCACGAGTGGACCATACGTACCCGAAAGGCGCAAACTGGAAAGACGTGGTGGCAATTTGTCAACGAACAAAACTCGCGATCCGGTGTCCGCCGCGCAAAGCGATTCCGGCTTCCGGCGCCCTGCCCTTTTGTGCCGGCGGTCGAGGTGCATTCGACCAGCGCCATCTGACTGACGGGTTGAATGACAATATGGAGATTCCGCGTGCAGCGTCGCATCGATTGTCCGAGCGCCGGAACGTGAAATTCAACGCGATTTATTTATATAAAAATAAAACAAATCGGTACGGCTCATATGGCGTTAAACACAAATTTCAAGAAATAAAGGACTCAGAGCCGTGACAGGGTGGTAATGTCTAAACATTTTGTTCTAAGTTTATTGCGAAAAAATGGCGGCCAGGCTTAACTTTTGACTTTTCAATTTCTTTTTGTTATTAACTTAGCCTTCGATTCAATTCAATTTTTGTTGTGGATTAACTTGTGTCTTAACTTAAGTTATATTTTCACGGCTGTTAACTTTAACTTAACTTAGTTTTTTAAAAAAAAAAGGATAATTTACCCAACTTGAAATTGCTCAATTGTCGCGCAGCCGCTCGCTGACGCCGCCGGAAGGAGTCGCATCGTGGCGCGACGTAAAGATGGTGAAAGCCCGCAGAGGATGGTACTTGGTGGACACGAAGGTAGACCAGGATGACAGGAAGCTAAGGGACGAGAGGGAGGCTGCATTGGAGGCGAGACGGGCGTCGATGGTGAAGCGATGCGACAAGAAAATCGCGCGACGTCGCACGCAGGCCGAGCAACGGGAAGCCCTTTTGACGGAGGAACGGTCTCGGGCCGGGGCAGCTGCGGAAGCGAAGCAAGAAGAGATTGAATTGGCGCACAGGCTGGCCGCCGAGCTGTCGCGGCGAAAGAGAAGTATAACGATTTACGGATAATCGCGCCCGGCATCTCGTCGGAAATTGTTCGTCCGCGAGATACAAGCTCAATTGTAGCCCGGATCGTCGTTGCAAACTTACAAAGAATTCATTTCTTTACGAATCAGCGTAATCCGCGTTCTAATTGAATTCCAAATAGAACTCCGTGGCGCACGTTCTTGTAGCCCGGTAAAAAATTTCCCTGGTAGAACAAGTACATTGACCAAACACTGCAGTTAAACATTGGCTCAATGCCCAGACAGCACCCGTGAGTTCTATGAATTTTGGAGCGCGAGTATTCTTCATTTCAGAATGTTCCAATAAAATATTCTATAAATATATACAGGGTGTTATGTAATACCCGCATCAACGTTTATTGTGGGATAGAGTGGACTAGACTAAGTCGAAAAGTCCAATACCACTTTGCAGGTTTTGCAATAATTAACGAGTTATTAATTATTAAAAATCGCTGTCTTACAATTAGACCGGTCCACTGCCCAATTCAAACGTGCAGCGAGATCGATCGATCGTTACAACTCTCGGTGCGCCTAGTAACGATCGATCGATCTCGCTGTACGTTTGAATTGGGCAGTGGACCGGTCTAAAGGCCTGTGTCCACGATGCTAGAACTTGATGTGTGGCCAATCAACTCGCAGCTATTCCATAAAAGCTGCAAGTTGATTGGCTACGCATTTCTCGGAACTAGAGCTTGGATCAAGTTCTAGCACCGTGGACACAGGCCTTAAGACAGCGATTTTTAATAATTAATAAACTCGTTAACTATTGCAGAACCTGCAAAGTGGTACAGGACTTTTCGACTTAGTCTAGTCCACTCTATCCCACAGTAAGCGTTGATGCGGGTATTACATAACACCCTGTATATAATTATTACAATTAGAAATCGTATATTCATAATAAAGAAGAATATTTTTAGACTATTCGTCGAGAATGTCTTTGAAATATTCGTTCGGATTTAACATTCATCGAGTTTATGTATTGCACATTGTCTATTGTGTGATACATTGATCTTACGCAAAAGGCAGTGAAACCTGTGATCATGCCATACATTCGAAAAATTTTATTGTAGTGCCAGTCAAATGTTCCACGAACATAAGATAAATATATAAGAATGACCCATGGAATATTCCAAATGTTTTTGAAGAATATTCTTAAAATGTCCGTAGGAGTGTCTTGTGCTATCTGGGTATTTGGTTGTATTGGTCCAATGTTTAGCCAATGCACTGTGCTTTTTTTAGATTCTCTGTGCTACCTGGAATCAATATTGCCTATCGACTCGTCTCTTTCGCAAGCTCGTATCTCTGGTCCAGGATGAGAGTTTGAGCAGACAAACCGGAAATTGCGTAAGATCGAGATACGACCTCGCGAAAGGGATCTATCGCTATTCTTCTCTTCATCTCGTGTGCATTGTTCCTCGCGGAGACTTTCATCCTGGCGGTGCTGTACACGAAATCGAATTTCTTTTCGACTTACAGACGAAGAAATAAACCGTGCGCTAAAACCGACTCGAGTGAAATCATCCGCGCGATCGCCACCGATTTGTGCTCTGAATGAAGCCCGAACGCGTCTAATAGAAGAGAAAGTTCGTCTGGAAGCGAGTCAAGCGGAACTATTGAGGCTCTGGCGCGAAGATAAAACCAATGAGAAACTACAACAGGCCGAAGATGAAGGGAAGAAGCGAAGCTCGCGTGACGCTCTGCAGAATCAATTGGCGGATAATCGTCGACGGATTCGACAGAGAAGAACCGAGGAGAAGGAGCAGGATCGTAAGACGGTGGAGCGAGCGATGCGGAAGACTCAGGAAGATGATGCAAAGTTGAGGAAAAAGAAGGAAGACGATGCGGTTCTTCTGAGAGCAGAGATGGTCGCGTCTTTGGCGGCTAAGAACGCCTGGGAGAGGAAATATAAGGAAGCGTTGAGGGAAGAAGACGAGAGGATTGCTCGCATAATTGCGGAGAAGGAAGCCCGGCAAGAGAGAGAGCTCGGTGCGAAGGTAAAATCGGGGTTTTTCGGATGAATGTACGTAACATTGAGCTGATAGCTGAATTTAGGAAAAGAGAACTTCGGCTCCTACGTTTTTCGGTGTGTAGACGAGGCTTCGCGCGGCGAGGGAAACGGCGATAGATAATGTAGCTAGAGAACTGCTGGCTAACGTGTGCAAAGAGAGAAAGAAGCAGGAGATCGCCGACGAATGGTATCGGGAAGAACAGAGGAGCAAGTGGACGAAAGAATCGGTCAAGCCTGCATCGAGAAAATGTGCTGAATCCTTCCAAGAAATAGTAATGCTTGATTCATCAAATTATTACAGTGTTTACATTGAATTGAATTTTTTTACAAAGAGTCATATTTAAGAATTTCTTCGAACTAAGTTCTGTCTGGAATTATTGATATAACAAATTTAAGTCACTTATGAATCACTTATTTCTTACGTGAATGTAGAAACTATAAAGATAATGTGGTAGAAATTCATGTGTAAAAGTGTCAAATCTTCCTACCATTTGAAACCAGATGAAACAAAAAGCTGAACGTAAAGCGAGAGATGAAGCGATCGATGCCGCATTTGCGCAATATTTAGCCGAAGAACGAAAGAAAAGTATCGAAAAAGAAAGAGAAGACAAGAACGCACGACACGCGAGAAGTAAACTTGTATTAATATTATATTCTAATATTTATGTGATTTTGGATTATGGAACACATCCATGCAATCTTAGTTTCAATGTACCCATCGTTCAAATGTATGGCACAAATGTCGAAAATGTTAGTAATTAATATTAGACAAATTATATTACAGAAATCCAATATGGAGAAGAATTAAAGGAAGCTATAACAAATAACAGAGTTACTTACGTTGTGGATATTTTGCGACGGCAATCTGAAATTGGTTTGCATGATAAAAATTCGAATCAGTTGAGTACAACGAGCGTGAAACAGTTCAAAGATAAAAATGAAAATAACAGGATTGCAAAAATACAGATGTTTGATGCAGGCATTAGAGGCTTTGCTGAATGATACAAATTTGCAATCGATAGATTTGACATCAATAAGATTCCCTAAAAATCTGCGTCACAAATGAAATGTATGAGATTAACAAACAAAAAATTCCAGTAGAAAATTGTACAAATACATAACAATACAATCAATAATATATACATATGTAAATACCTAAAAGGTAAAAAACAGAATTGATTTACAATTTAATTAAATGTCTCGCCCAATGTTGTCCAATCTGTAGGAGTTAAAAATCTGCTAAAGCATCATATTCAAAAAGATAATAAAATATTGCCATGTAAAGTTTGAAGCACACGACCGCGCAATAACGAGTACGAAAACCGAGAATTCCGAAAGTCCATTTAAGGTATAAAAAACACACGCCATTTTAAATTATCCTATTGCAATCATATTTAATTTATATCCCTTGATGGAAAACCAGTTTTCCCTCAATCCCTTCCACTTCTCCCTACATCAAAGCACGCGTATTTTTCTATCGCAAAAATTTATACTAAATGAAAACACGCCCGTACTTGTTTTCCTTGCACAGTCGCAGCTTTCCCGTTCATCCACATTTCGTCTAGTATTTATTGGTATACAGTATGTACATACCTCCCCGGAACAGGGGTTTCCCCGCGAGGACTCCTCCGTTATATTTGTACAAAGTCCGTGTAAAAATACAGCAGCCCCATCTTATATCAATTATAAGTTTATGTGATAAGAGTTAAAATAATATAACAGTCTCGCCTCTCGGACGTATCAAATATTCCGAATAGGTTCGGATCGAGACCACTTGTGCCCTCGACTTTGTTCGGATCCGAGTGTTGTATCATTTGGCATGCGGGGGGACACACGTGCGATCCCACCACCCCCGCCATTGCTAATCGTTTAAATGGAACAAGAAGCACTCGAGCTTAACGGGAATGACTACGGTATTAACTGTAAGTACGAGCGATCAATTTGTTGGGTGGCTAGCTAATCGCCACGGTCGCTCAGCCCTATCTCATCACTCGCGGATCAAAAATAGTGTGTTCAGTGCTACGACTACTGAACTACGATGCTTTCTCATACGACGAGCACGCGTGCATACGGGAAAAGATTTTACGCCGATACCGGTAACACCAGCAATTTTTCCTGCTTGATAATTCGCACCACAGACTTCTATATACTATTAGACCGCTACCTTCCAGCTGGAAAGGGAGGCAAGAGTTTCGCCATGTCTTATTCGGTAAATAAAGTGGTATGTGTGCATCGGTCCGTCACTTTATTTTACAAGACTGTTCAGCTGGAAGGCAGTAATTTAGTAGTATACAAAAGTCGGTGATTCGCTCTTGCCGATGATCGAATCTCGGAGCTCAAGGGAGCTGTTACCCTTTTCTACAAAAGTAAATCAATCTTCTCTTGCAAAATAAACGGAGTTGGAAGAAATCTAATTTCTATTGGAAACACCCTTGCTTTATTATTCCATTTCTGTTCTTATTCGCTTGAGAAATTCCAATGGAAATCAGAATTCCTTTCAACACCAATCTTTTTTCCCTAGCGTATGTTTCGTGAAAAGCTTTTGATTCTCTTACTGGTTTTCTCTCTTAACTATACAACTATAATTTTTTCTTCTAATTTAACAGTAAGAATTAAGTACAGTGGTCAATCGTGCGTAGTTCAATTTGTTAAATAAACAAGTTGCGTTTAAGTTTCTATGCTAAACCGTGCGCCAAATGAAAAAAAATACAGATGTTATAATGTGTGATTTTTAAGACTGACCGACATCTACTTTTCTTTCTAAATTCCTTCACGTTTCTCAGTGAACGATCCGCTTTGATTTCGCTATAAATTGATTGTTTCCTCGATTAGCGATCGGGACTCGCCGCGGCCCAAAGTGAGCTCCATGGAGCGCAAAACTTTTCTCGTATGCTCGCGTTCCCCGCACGTCGGATTCTTGGGATCGTAGAAAACTGTCGATCGCGTTGCAATACGCGAATTTACGAATTTGATTCACTTCGCCGCGACTAATTGTAAGTCTCCCGGTAGACAGACTACACAAGGGTAACAGCTACATTTTATCATCTACACATTACAGAATCCGAATATCTGAATATTTCTGCAGTCTACCTGCTGATTCTACGATCAAGCGCTACACGCTTTCTTGCACTCACTCCCTTTCCTCCTGTTTTTAGATTGTAATGCAAATCTTACGACCAAAGCGGAATACGTACTACTTACTTGTACGACATATATAAGTATGTATCACAATATATGTGTATATATATATGTATGTATGTATAGATGCGTATAGACACAACGGAGTACGAACGAAGTTAACGAGTGTGTCCGGATTAATACGGATTAAAAACGCTCGCCGCGCTCGCACGCGAATTCGTGTAGCGATTTCTGCGCAGCGACTAGGCACAACAAAGCGAATCGCGCGACATGGCTCACAATCGGTTTAAAGACTCGTGAATTGAAACTGAGATTTCAGCGGATTTAAATGCTACAGACGCTCTACGCGAAGCTAATGTCTCCGGTCCTTCCGCTCTCTTCCCTTCTCGACACGGAAAACGTATCAATTTTTCAAATACTTTGAATGGCTCGTGAATTAAAAATTAACTTCTTACTGAATTAAGAATCACGTCGAGGTAAATTCCTCTTTTACAGAAGGCATTCAATTTAACGCGATAAATCCCGCTGAATTAAATTTCATTCAGCCGTTTCCCACCACGGTACAGCATCGAGAATTTAACTCGCCGAAATGACATCGATTTCAATTCCCGATTAATTCAAGACAGGATATAACACAGCTCGGTCTTGAAAGTAAAAGCACGCTTCCTTATTTAAGCAATTCTGCCTATGGGTTCATGTAAAAGTAACATCACATCTTCTTATGAATTAAGTACATTTACGGGAGCGCGTATACGTTTGTGTGTGAACACGTGTGTGCGCGCGCACATACACAAGCGGATCTCTTTTGCGAATTCTTCAACTATGAACACCAGCTTCGTAGTTGTAAAACTAATTATGGACGTACAAAACACGGTCGGCCACGTATAGTTACCACGTTAGACAAAGTACAATTTTTGCGAAGTCTTAGTTTACGTAATAATCATACATAATAATTATAAATGTTCTTATGAGTTTTGGAAGTTGAAGCATCGTTCACTTAAGAAATTAGGCTTCCAATTTGTTTTTGACAAACGTATATCAATAGAATGTAGCGCTATGCAAGTATAAGTTTAATTATTCGCTACCAATAGCTGTAAGCTCTTGCAAAAATGTATCGCTTACGTATAATTAATCGACACGTACTTTGAAAAGCTAAAAAATGAAATTTGATTAATTAGCAACGAGCTCCCTTTAAGTCAAAACAGTACGCAGATCGAAGATTAAATATTCACTCGCCGGAAGAGCTAATTTATTTAACTTCGAACGGTGTACATTTTAAATTAAATGCAACCTGCTTACGTTAAATTATGAAAGTACACAGTGATATCAATAATTTTAGTCAAATAGCTCCAATCGAATTAAAAGAAACCTACCAGACCCTGTTTACATCGTTCAGTAATCTACACGCAAATGTAGCTAGTTATTTTACGTTATCTCTACCTCTCTCGTTCTCCCGCTGAATAATACTTGTTGTTAAGGAATGATACAAAAATGAATGCCGCCAACGAGCGTATTAATATTATTAATGTTATTATCCTTGAGTATCGAGTCCGTATCGATCCGACCATGTTACTTTATTATACAGAGCGATCCCTCGTACGTTTTCGGCGCGTCAGGCCGAAATTACGGTATGAGAAATCGGCGATCGTAAACGGATCTTAAAGAGGATGCATTAACCGTACTCATACGTGTTGGCTAATAAGAGCTAGTTTAATCGATTTCATAACGATTAACCGAGCCGGCTTATCGCGGTTTGTCGTCATGGGTGAAATCGTGGCAGCTCATGGGGATCGCGGCGACACACCCGAGGGGAATGCACACGAAGCTGAAAACGTGAAACGCGAACACGCGAATACTCTGTACCGAGATATGCTTTTAGCTCGAGTGCACGTGCCGCGAGCGCAAGGAACTTAAACTCGGCAAACACATTCGGCAATGCGCTGCAAAGGAACGTCAATTAAGCAGAATCGATAGCTGCCCGTTTTGTAAATGTCCGACTTTTAGAACACTCGTAATTCCAAGCAAGTGCGACAAGAACGTTTTTGTTGCATTAACACTTTATTACAAATTGATTTTATCGTTATCGGAAAGTATCGAATTGAAAGTGTTGTCTCTTGCGTTGATTATGCGGATATTTTTTGGCAGAAGTATCTTTGGAAAAGATTTAATTATAAAAGAGCAATTAGCTGTCGATTCTAATTAATCAACTTATCTTTTACAGAGCGAACAGGAATGTCTGAGCGATAAAGCATATTTACAACTGGAAGTTACAGTTCAGAAGTGTGATCAGACACATAAGAGGCGTAAGTACCACACGATAGCACCAGATATCGGATTTGACGATTGAATATGAAGTAGGAGAAACGGCACGTCCCCCGTTAACAATCGCGAGCAACGGAAATCGCCGAAAAGTCGCAGGTGCCACTGAAGATATTTTGTACAGTCTTAAAAATATAAGCAACATCCGTTGTCGGCTCGTCTCGCGATTCTCACGGATGTACTGAAGATGCAAAGTATATCCGATAAGATGCTTCGCGAGATGCGATTAAAAATTGTCGACAATAGGAACCACGAGTGAATTAACGTTACTTTAACGTTACAGGCAGATCGGGTGGCGAAGAAACAAGAGAACCTCCCGACGATCTGTTCGGAACTTACCTGACGTTTCAACAGTTGCTCCCATCAACGTCAGGTCAGCTCTGATCGTGGTATGCTAAGTTTTGTTCCTCTGCGTCGATACCATAGCCCTAGCTACAGAACAAACGCTAATACATTACATTATAACAGTAGCTATAATATAAAGTTACACGTTAATTATATCATAGCTAAAGATATAATGTCGCAATTTTATCATGTTTAGTTATATTATAGCTAGGGCCATAATATAAAGTATATAATAGCTATGTTACAGCTAAGGTTAAAATATAGAGTATTTTATAGCCGTATCATAGCAACGGCTGTAACTGCAGTGTCCGGTTACGACTACGTTATAACTAGGGCTATAATCTCAAAGGGAGCGACTAATAGAAGTTAGTCAATCAAGGCTGTCGACGCAATTCACCTTTTGTCATCCTCTTACGATCGATATATATCGCCATTTAAACGAAAACTACGCCATTCTCGGACGTGACTTTCCCTAAGCGTCAGAAAAGAGGGTACAGAGTAACAGCACAGGCACAGTGTAAAGAGACTTTAAGATAAAGCATTACTTTCGACGCCCCAAAATACCGCGTTGCATTTTGAGATTAACGTTGCGCACTGATCCCTGAAAATTTAAAGCTACCATCGAAAACGAATTGTAATCTGCTTTCAGCATAGTTCTCCGGGAAATATTAGACGAGTAGATCAACATTTATATATTTGCGGCGCTTACACCAGTCGCACTTTAAACGATGGATTTGGCCCCTTTCTTTGGAAGAAAACTGGCTTGATCGTCGAAAAACTAACGTCGGCGCACCTCATACGTTCGTCTGCGCAAATTCCGTTCATCGCAATCACGCGTGAGAAACGTTCATCGCGCTGCGGCGCGAACGTTCGCAAACGTATCGGTCGCCAAGCTATTACTCCACTCTGCAGATGCGGAAAGGAAGAATGACGAAGATCGATGCAACACGTCTTTTCGACGTGCGCACAGAGCGAAGAGTTGAAAGAAAAACGTATCAAGATATCGTTCGACAGATCGGACGCAAATTAGCAACTAAACGAATCTTCCCTTCCACGTTCTCGGACGGGATTTTCCCACGCACGAGCTAGCAATTCAACGCGAAACTATCTATCATCCCGCACATCCTAAAGTATTATCTATTCTCGCGCTCGGATATAAGGGATGAAAATGCAAGACCTACTTATTTGCGTAGCGATTCGAAATCAAATCAAAGATTATCGAAATCCATGGTCACGTGTCCGAGAAGAGGAACTCGCTCTCGGACAGCAGCACTTCCAGATCGGAGGGTACGGTGTGCAAGTCGGAGTTGGCCGGTTCTGGCAGATCGCCGCCGCTGTTACCGATGCCGGTGGGAGCGATTTGCCGTGCTCTGCCTATCCTGACTCGGTCCTTCCTCTTGGCCGTTCGCAGAAGCACCCCGGTTCTCGGCAGCTTCGCTGTTCTACCGTTCGCGCTCGTGTGATTTACGGCTGTGGCCGGTGCCTGCGCCACTTTATCGGACTTGCGTAGCTTCACGCTGAACCGGAACGGCGGCTTGTACACAACCTGAAGCCTCGCCCGTTCCTTCCTGGCGAGGGAGTTCGACGAGTTCTTCAGCTCCGCCCTTCCGGCTTCCGCGCCAGGACGTCGAGCGGATGTCAACGCCTGTTGCCTCGAGACCGGCACTCTGGACCCCACTGCCCCTCCGCTAACGGTCAGACCCACGGGGGTCGACTTGCTCTTCGGCAAACCGTTGACGTTGGTCCGTGCACCGATTTCCGGTCGGCATTGCGAAGACGCCAATAACCAGGAGCGCACCTTGCTCTTAGGATCGGCGTTTGTCTCAGGCTCCTTATCCGCTTGCATTGCCGAATAGTCGATCACCTCCTTTCTATGTTGCTTCTTTCGCTTCCTCTTGTCGTTGTCGCCGCTGCTGACGCCGGCCGGATTATTGCTGGTACTTTGTCCTTTATCTCTAGCCGATGTAATCTTCTTCCGTTTGTTCTCCTGCGCTAGAGCAGCCGAAACTTCGGCTGGTCTCTTCCGCGCAACATCGTCCACCTGGCCGGTAGATGATCTCTTCGGCTGTAGATTCTGCGGTTTCTTCTTGGCGTCCTGTGAATACAAACGAGAAACTTAAAACTTCCGAAATACGAATACCAAATAATATATTAATACATCGATAATTGAAATAAATGATTATATATTCTTTAATTTTTCTATTCAGACTAACGTTACCTTATTATTGGACTTGTCCGCGTGGCCACCATCTTTATGTTTGCGATGACACCTCTTTTCTCTGACTTTTCTGCTAAGAGGTAGCTTGGCACGTACCGCCGGTGGATGCACTGTCACTCCTTCCGTACCTTCCGGCGGAAGCCGTACCGTTTCCGTCGTAGAACTGTGGATTATCGTGACGGACTTTAGCTTCAGGTCTGGTCGCTTGCCCAGTAATCTCATGCTGGCCACCTAAGAGAAAAGAAAGCAATTTTATCTTCTCATTGACAATAATTCAGAAATACAAAAATAAGATACTACTATCGTATATAAATACATACTTCTTTACATATTTATACGCGTACATATTTTACCAATAAGAAATACGTGACTTACAATCAAAAATTCAAATAACTACTTTTCACTTAATCAAATCTAGCTGCCAGGATTTTTTTGTAAAAAGCATTAATCCAATTATTTTACAACAAATATCAGATTGCAACAGTCTACTGTACTAATGTGTCCCTACACTTACTCTCGTCGTATTTTTCTCTTTTCCTTAGCCGTTTCTGAACATTTTTAATATTTCATACATTTTTATATATTAAAAACATATTTATTCTACAGACTTGTTTAATATAACAATCTCATCAAAGCAGTTATCGATCGAAAATATTAAATAACCGAGGCGATGAACGACAGAAACATTAGAGAAATTTAAATTTTAATGATAAACTTGAGAGAAAATGTTGGTGATGCTTTTATACGTACCAGCAACGATATCGCCGCTAAAACTATCAGGGCGACTGCATACCAATGTTCAGCGACCCACCGTCTGAAAGTAGCAAGGCTCTCGTCGGATAATAAGAGCTTCCTTAAAGTTGCTAATGGACCGCTTGGATCGACCTGAATAAAATATTTTAATTAACGCCGTTACCCATTACCCTCCGCCATCCGCTGTGACCAAGTTCCACTTACCTCACGGCATTTTTGAAAGACATCGCAATAGCCGTTATAATCGTTGCACGGAGTCCCTGGTTTCGAGAACATGTCCGGAATATCGTACGGCGGCGAGTTCCAGTCGAAAGACGATCTGCGAAGAAGCGCGGTTGAATTTAACAAATTTTCGCGCAAAATGATATCGAAATAATGTGAGACGAACGTACAGGCACTGTTGATTTTCCCCGGGAAGTCGGCAGCATAACTCGCAAGCCTTCGTCGGCGGATCATTCGGGCCTGGTATGCATTGGCAAGATTCCAATCCGTACGCCAGGCAAATGCTGCCGGTGCACTCCTGTTGAAACGCAAGTTTCAACATGAGACAGATCACATTTACCCGTTAGAAAAGGGTGTATGGAAAGTAATACCTACCCCCATGAAGCAAACCAGTTCGCGATTGCAGATGGTCTTATTAGGTTTGTTAATGGACGGCGGGCACAGCGGGGAATCACCGTCGCAGAAGCTCGCGTCGCGGCAGCCGTTGTCGTCCCTGCACTTCTTTCCGAAGTGAAACTCGCACTCGGTGGTACAGCACGGACCCTGAAAAGGAGAGCAAACAGAGCCGTCGAAATTACGTCGTGCCAAACGCACGATGCTCCGCTTAATTACACTACGCGTATCCGCGAGTAAATTGCCTAAAGTAAATTTAACGGAAATCGCTTAAATTAATTAATATTTTTGGCAAAATAAACGAACAGCGGTGAATGTGTGCGCCGGCGAATCACAATATATCCTTTGCGCGAAATGCTGTGCGCCAATTATTAAACGCACATTGTTCATCGCGTTAAACGCGGCCAATCGCGCAGCAGAAATATTATCAAATATTAAAGATATAATGGCTTCATGAAAAATGGATTGAAATGTGGCGCATTTAGAGTTACTACATTCATACATGTATGCATTCCGCCATTTGAATATTTGAACAAGTGGATAAACGCCCGAACACATAGCTGGACAAACGGGCATTTGAAAAATTTGACCGGCCGAGCGCTCGCGGCATTTACTATTCAAGATTGAAAAAGCGCAAGCGCGGCTACAAGGTTTCGGGTTAAACTTTGAGCGAGAAAAGTCGTCCTAAAATTCCCCGGACAATACCAGTCCGGCTCGCATTTTTTACAAGCGTCATACATACTTGACTAGGGCTGCACCTCGAGCCGGTCGTGCGCGTGCACGGTATCTGCTCGGACGGCACGTAACGGCGCTGGGGGAAGCAGCACGAGTCCTTGCAGTCCTCCTCCCAGCCGCAGTCGCACTCCTCGCCCTCCTCCACCACGCCGTTGCCGCACAGCGATACTTGCGGTTCTACGATAAACAATGCAGAGTACACCGTCAGGGTTAGAGCAAACGGGGATAGAATAATTGGACGAGCGGATGGGAAGCTGGGCTCGATCAATTCCGCCCCGCTGCGACGCGACGCCGCGATATATCGCGCTCGCCGCGACGCTTCCGCGGCGTAAAACTCACCGGTGAAGCATCCCTTTGGCGAACGTGCCTTGCTGTTGAGCACGGGATTTATGGCGTTCAGGCTGCACGGGCTGAAGCGGTTGTTGTTGCGTTTGTCGCCGCTGGTAGCACGGGCGAACATTATAAAGTTGCCGTCCTCGCCGCCCGGTGTGCATTGTTCCGGATCGTGCTGGACGCGAAAGAACAATGAGATGTATGACGTGCCCGTCATTCGTTTATTGACGGTATAACGTCGTGTAACAAGGCATGTGGAACGCACTGCCGTTTTGAACGCGACTAACGCAAGTGTATACGTACCGGCGAGCCGAAGTTGTGGCCGATCTCGTGAGCCAAAGTAACGTGAGAGACCGCAGGCGGTACGTGCTTCCCGTAATTTAATAGGGTCACTATACCGGTGTTCAATGACTTCATGCTGCCGCGGTAATGCTGCAACGTTATTTCGACCATTATTTCCCATTAAGTTTCGCACTCGCGACGGTTTAACACTTCGATGTTCGCGAAAAGAAGTCACGCGGCGAAAAATCTACCTCCTTTTCCGAGCCGGTCAGCTGATCGCCGCAAATTATTCTTCGAGTGTACACCCAGAAAATAGTTTCAAATCAAGCGGATTAATTTCAGAGAAATGATTTCTTTACCTTAACCAACATTTTATTTACTTGACTTGAGACTGGAATCTCTAAGACGATTCATATCTATCTCTTCAAATCTAGCAAGTGTTTCGGTAGAAGTGAATAAAAATTCCTAGTAGATTCAGAGAAACATGATTTCAACGTATCTCATTTGTTCAACTTAAATAAATCTTTTTTTCTGGGCGTAACAGTACAAGCACAACGTTAGGTAAATTATTGCAGATCTCTTTTACGTCTAATTTGATAGAGTGAAGTCCTCTAATACGAGACAGCAGGTTTTCAACGTTCAAATTCAATCACAAATCTTTTTGCGCAACGATTACACAATCTGAATTTACCACTAAACGGATTTCACTCCACGGGCAATAAATTAACGATAAAACCAACAGTTGATTAATTCAGCAAACACCCTGCCGTCTCATATTAGGAGCCTGTTTCATGATAGGGGACCTTCCTCTGCGTCAAAGTTACAATTTAATATACTTGAAGTTCCAATTTAAATTTCTCGTGAAAATTCAGTCGCTCCCGCGCCACTCGTAAATTTCTGAAAAAAAATCTAATCGAGACGTTTCTCCAAGGGTCTGGTTAAATACATTTCGTCCACGCGTACCCCGTTCTTTTCACACACGCCGCCGGCATTCTTGAGATCGCCGGTCCACGCCAGACCCAGAGTTCCCATCTCGAAATCCCGATACGTGAACATGTAAGCCAGGCAGAATGCGTCATAATCCTCCTCTATAACAAGGCAAACATCAACGCATTATCGGTTTAGTAATCCTCGTTCGCATATTGACGTATTGACATTGCGCCGTATTGCGGCACATTAACGGCGCGCGACAGCGTCCCCTCACCTGAAAAGAGCTCCAAATATTTCTCCACCCCGTAATTGCCTGGGAAACGATAGTCACGTTCCGTCAACGCCTTATCGCTGTGCACCTTGATGCGCTTGATCATGAAGCTGATGTTGTCCGGCCGCCCGTCTTGATTAAAGTCTAGAAGCAAACGTGACGCTGCTCAAAACGCTAATTGTCTCTCGAATCGCATGTTTATCGAAACGGAACAGTTCGCATCAGCTCGCGCATTATTCCAGTCCTGTTTCTTGTGCACCTAACGTTGACGACTCCCATGCGATTACCGGTTCTCCGGTGCAAGCACAGTAATTCGCGTGTAATGTGGAACTCAGTGTGCGTTATACATAATGGAGCAATACGGTGATGAAAATACCATACGAGCGAACAGCCAGGCCGGTGTGTGTTTTACGATGATATCGAGTAACAAAATATTTATCAAAAACATACTTAAAATGCACACACCTTTCACGAAACGCATCTGAAGCACATCTCGCGTTAATTTCGCAATTGTGTAGACACTATGTGTGCTTTTTTTAATTGTGCTTTGTGCCACTTAAAAATTCGAAAAAGTCTTCTTCTTTATACTTTGTAAAAAGATCGCGAGATTTAATATGACAATATCTTTGAGATTTTCCACGAAGCTTCGTTGAAGTTTATATTCTGTAATCATCTGTAATGTTTCTCACGTGTAATTGAATATTCGACTCGCATGGATAATATTCGAAAGCTCTGTTTTGCTCCACTTTCCTTAATCATTTGCTAATAATTTGTTTTTTTTCGCCGGCTTCGCAATTTCAAGTCTCGTCTATAATTCCATCGCTTTTATATCACAGTGCGCCAAAATTATGAACGAGAGAAACAAAAAAGGGGGGCGGGGGGCGCGCGCATATTAATATCCGAAGGAAACTAATTTACTATTTTCATCGTATTTTCCGCGGATAATAAATACCGCGCTTAATTGCGCCTAATATTAAAACACAAATGGACGTGAATTCAGCGGGCGAGAATCGAACAAAGCGACTCTTTCCCGCATTATCATCGACCGCGGCGGGAATTGTGAAATTCCAGAAAATTTTCATAATTCCCGCAAAGTTCGCCGGCATTCCTCGAAAAGTCCCTGAATTTCTTCGCTTTTTTTCCTCCTCCCCCCCCCCCGTGTCCTCCCGATATTCTCCCCGGCCATTTTAAATTAGATTCTCCCGACGTTTTTCGCGTTCCTCAAGTACTTTCCAATTTCCCCGACTTTTTCCTTCCCTCCCCCCCCCCTCTCTCCGCCCCCCTCGGTCCTCGTGCGATCGTACGTTTTCCTCGGGTCGCGGCGAGAGAACTGGTTAGATCGTTCCCTCACCGCATCGCCGCGAGGAGCGAGCGAGGAACACCCACCTGTGTGTTTGTAGATGGAGTTGACTCTCTGCACGTGCCTCGTCATCACCTCGATACAGGCTTCCTCCGTGCCGTATCGCGCGAAAAACTGATGGTCCGCTTGCAAGTAGAGCATGCAGGTAGTCTTCCGGGGATCTACGGTCGCGCGCTTGTGCAGGTGCCTCGCGATCCGATCTCTGCCGCTCGCGCCGCTGCGAGGAAAATAAGGTCGCTTTTATTGCGCGACGAAAAACGCGCCTCGCCTCCTCTCCGGGGGCAAACTCCTCCTGGAGCTGCACCTCCAGGTGCCTCTCCAATTCTATTTCAACTTTCGCGACGGTTTGTCGGCGCGCACACACAAGCACACACGTTGCCGGGTACTTCGCTAACAATTGACACGCGAATTGACCCAGAAGGGAGAGTCAACACAAGCATTTCACGTTAGAGTTGAAGCCGTCGTCCCTTCCGCGTTGTTTATCGTTTCCTCCCGGCGTCGAATCAATCATAAAAAAAATATACATGTCGCAGCGTTGCATTTTGAGCGAAAAAAAATTTGAGTCTACAATAAACGTTTCTTTACGTCACGTACTGCTGCAACGTGTATATCCTTTTATTCTCCTGGTTTTTTTTCCATGCTCTTTGAATAGATCTTCGAAGCTGAAACACATTTTATACCGACGCGATCCGGCCCGAACTTCCTCGCGCTTAAAAAGCCCTCGTTCCCTTCCGCGTT